GTTTTCATTTAAAGGATTTGCCACTGATGATTCAAACGCGAGTTTTGGGCAGTAGCACTTGTTGTTTGTCATTTCTCTGATCACAAATGCGTTTTATGTTTAAGTAAAAGACAGTATAAGTCATTATAATCCGTCATTATAATCAGTAATTATGTCCCCACTGGATGCAACAAATGTCTAGTTTGTAATGGGTTTTAATGTATTTGTCTCGTCGCTCTGGCCGGGACACGGCATCAACAGTATGGTGAGGGGCGTAACATTTCCGTCTCACGCTTGAGGTATTCGGCCAATCACAATGGACTGGATAGCTGGCCAATCACAGCACACCTCGCTTTTTCAGACCGATGAGCTTTGTAAAAATCGACGCGTTTCAAAAAGACGGGGCATAGAGGAGAAACACCGCTGTTGGTTGTAATATTGGTGAAGTAAATCCACACTTTGCTGAAGAAGCGTTAGCAAACTCTTGAGCAGCAACAACAGTACCATATACTCCGCCATTGTTGAGTATGTTTGTTCACGCTTGCCTTTAAAATCAACACATACTGCGCATGTCTACATACCTAACACGTACTACTACGCATGCGCATGACGTCACCGTTTTCAAAGATTCCCGTTTTGTGTTTACATGGACACAATAACGTGCCGTTTTCAAAAACTTCCACTTTGAAATCCGTTTTCAAAAATATGCTTCCAAAAAAGTTTCCTTTTTTTGTGTAAACGGCCCCTAAGAACACTTGCATTAGTTATTATTGTGTTATTGTGACATAACTTGTACACATTTTACTAGTTAGACTTTTCCCAAACTATAATTCCTGACTACATGTATGAAATCAAGTGAAACATTTTTAAATATGTGTCATTTCATTGCATGTTTGGCACAAAGATGTGTGACTGTTCAAGTCTCAGTGTTTAGATCTGTATGTTCAACTATGTGTCCTTGACCTTCACTTTGTATATTCTGATTATGCTGTGTTGTAAATAAAATACAAATAATCAAAAACCCCATTATTTTGCTCTCCTCACATTCTCCTCACATTCACACACAAACACAAACATGTACATTCATGCTTCTTACATATTACTGTAGAATAGTTTGTGCTGATTAAGTATAATCTGATTTCAGACATTAATATGCTTTAAGATACTGAAAAAAACACAAATGGCAGGGCATGTCAAAACTTCTCCAGTGCCCCAAAACCCCCTCAGAGCCCAGAGGGTTAAACTGTGGGGTTATACATTCTTCTTTGCCTCTTTTGTCTTTTACACAATACACAGTAAAAACAGTCAGAGACAACATAAACAAATGCGTACTGAGACACATTTTTAAAGGTTGTAGCCCTTAAACAAAAGACATGCTCTTGAAAATTGTCTGTATCAGTCAGTTGTCTTTGTGTATTATTATTTTTCAGCAGTTCACGCCATGAGCACCAGTTGTTGAGTCTTCTTTTATGCCATTCAACTGACTGTGCTCCACTGAAGTATTTTAGTTTACCCCATAAACGATTTTGAACTTAACATGCATTCCTACAATGGTGCTATTTGTGGTTGCATTATCTATGCATTACCTATCAACTAGCAATGCACCAATGTACAGCATTTAATAATCTAGTTTATTGTTAATTCATAAATATACTATTATACTATTTTTTGATGTTAAATCATGAACTTGAATTATATTAGTACAATTATAGTACAATTACTGAGAAGAAAATATAACATCAGCCAAGCATTAACCAAGCATTGCTTGTTCATAATACCTGGTGCATGAACTAATGTTAATGAACTGAAACTTATTTGAACCTTAAGTGTTACAATATATATAAACAAACAGGATGCAGTACTGCTTTCTTTTATACTCTCTTATTATCTACCTGTGTTAGGTTGTTCCTGAAAAGCTACAGTGGTACAGCTGGAAGACAGAGCAGTTTGGTGATAAATGGGGCTGACTTTAGCACAAAAGACATGGATAATGACAACTGTATCTGCAAGTGTGCACTCATGCTCACAGGCGGTAAGCAAATCGATAGTAGTGGAGCAGGGCAAAGTTTATCCTTTAATGTAACAAAGCTTCATTCCCTTTCACTGTAAAAGTGCTGCTAGCATCTGGGAGTAAAGCAGATAATGATCAATAATTACCTTTTTCTGACCTATCTTTCTCTCTTAACACGACTCTCTTTATTCATTGTTCTTCTGAAGGCTGGTGGTTTGATGCCTGTGGCCCATCAAACCTCAACGGCATCTACTACACCTCTGGACAAAATTCAGGCAAACTTGATGGCATCAAGTGGCACTACTTCAAAGGCCCCAACTACTCTTTACATGCCACCACCATGATGATCCGCCCATTAGACTTTTGAGAAACCGATCATCTGTCATCAAATTGTCACACATTTTCCCACAATGAATGAACTTATACAGCATGCTGTGTGAAATTCAATGTCAAACTGCTATACTTATATGTTTCTTACCTTTTCCTCATGTTATACATTGTGTTCTTTAAATAGTCTGTTGTGTTGATGGAAGTCTCTACTGAGGGCTTGACTTACTGGTGTCATCAGCTTTCAGGAAATTCATGAACTGGTTTCTAAAGTCTATTTGGTTACACTTTATTTTGATAGTCCTCTTTAGACATTGTACTAACTATAAGTAACTTTGCAACTACATGTCAACCAACTCTCATTAGAGTATTAGTAGACTGTTAGGTTAGTGTTACAGTTACTGTAGGTTTAGGGTTAGTACAATAAGTTGACATGTACTTGCAAAGATGCTTAAAGTCAGTAGAATGTCTGTTAGGGAACCATAAAAAAAAGTGTTGGTAGATTTTTTCAGAACATACACTTAAGCACAAGCACTATTTAAAAAAAACTATAATATGCATGATACTTAATATGCATGTTACATTTTTGGGCTTTGTGGTAAATATTGTTTGTAGAATAATTTCTGAGCTTGGATTGTGTTGCCTTGATGGCAGGTGTGTCATAAAAATGTGCAATTTTTTTCCTGTTTAAAAAAAGTAATATGAAATATGATTTATGAGCTGTAACCATATGTTTACAGTATGTTGTTATAATGCAGTTTGCTATGTATTACATTTTACAATATTACAACTGTATGCAGTAAAAGTTGCTGATAACAGTCTGATGTATAATCTGTATCCTCCAGGTGATGACAAGGCGTGTAGAAACATTGAAAGTATTATTTGAATAAAATGTTGACAAACATGTTTCTTTTTTCTCCCCCAGAGACTTTTTGTAAAACGCACAATAAGACTTTGTCATGCACAAAAAAAAATAAAAAGAAGCTACATACATGAATTCCACAGTCTTTTTAAGTTTTGGTTTCTGTTTCAATGATACTGCTGCTTGTGCTAAAAAACAAAACAAAAAAACAATCATGAAGTCAGGTGAGGCCCATGATCAATGTCACTGTCATGCTCGGTTGCAGGAAGGAACATGAGAGCTTGACTTAATGGTGGTGTCAGCTTTCAGGAAATTCATGAACTGGTTTGTAAAGTATATTAGGTTACACTTTAATTTGATAGTCCACTTTAGACATTTTTGCAACTACATGTCAACTACCAGTCATTAGAGACTGTCTGCTTAATATCTGCTAACACTTTATTTTGATGGCTCCCAGTGTTGGGGAGTAACTAGTTACATGTAACGGAATTATGTAATTTAATTACAAAATAAAAGTAATTGTAATCAGTTACAGTTACTAAGAAAAATGTGTAATTAAATTACAGTTACTTATGAAAATGTTAAGGATTCCAAAGGGGGTTACATATGACTTTTTCCACACACACTCCCACATACAGATTTAATTGAGTTGCAGTGACTACTCTAAAATATGAAACACCAATGTTTCAGAAGTTTATAACATGCTTTTGTATATGCTTTACTTTTAGGCATTGTTAGATTCCAGCGTTTACTGTCATAGCTATGCAAAGATTTGATTTCAAAAACAGTATCATAGCAATTGTAGCGCATCGATTCACTACAGGAGGCCTTTGTTCACCCCCCGGAGCCGTGTGAGACACTTTTTTATGGATGGGCGCTTTTTATTTAACTTCTTTTGGACTGATGCATGCAACACCAGCTGAGCGGCATTAAACAGCTTGAAAGATCAAATACAATTTTTAATATAACTCAGACTGGATTCGTCTGAAAGTAATTTATGGGCTAATTTTCATTTTTGGGCGAACTAACCCTTTAAAGTCAGAAATCTGCAGCTGGATCATGAACAATGGGTACTGATACATAATTGAGTTTGAACTTTTTTACAAAACCTGCCTTGAATTGTCCCTCACGCAGAAAGCAGTCTGGTTTGCGCAGCCAGACATAAACAAATTTAATGAAAGTGAATTGAATTGACATGTGGCTAAGTATGGAGTCCCATACTCAGAATTTGTGCTCTGCATTTAACCCATCCAAGTGCACACACACATGTTATATTTTTTCGCTTTTTCGTAAATATTGTTTTTAGAATAATTTCTGAGCTCGGTCTGTGTTGCCTTGATGGCAGTTGTACCATAAACTAAAATTTGCTATTTGTTACGTTTAAAAAGTAGATTTTACATTGTGTGTGGATATATGGAAAATATGATTTATGAGTTGTAACCATTTGTTACAGTATGTTGCTATGTGCAGTTTGCTGCATATTACACACTGTAAAACAAATTCTGTAAAATGGTAAAACAGCTGGCAGCTGTGGTTGCCAGAATTTTACCATAAAAAATACAGTAGAAACATTTTAGTAGAAAATTTAATTTAAATTTACATTTAAAAAAACTTATTTTATAAACTGGTATAATGTTAATAATATACCAACCTACTGAAGTACTGAAATCTGTTTAGCACCTTTGTAATACACTGATAACCACCAAAAACAGGTGGTGATGAGAAATTATGAACCAAAACTCATCACAAGCAGCTTCTCCACAATCTGAGAAAGAAAATACTAATATTAAACTAGTATTAAAAATATCTTAATATCCTATTAGATTCTGGTTCTTAGCAAAGATATATATATATATATATATATATATATATATATATATATATATATAGAAAGAACGCACTGTATTTCAAATATATATATATATATATATATATATTTTTTTTTTAGAGTGGCAATGCATCATTACTTGTACTTAAATTCTTTATAATCTTTTAAATAAAGTAAGTCAAATAGCAAAAAAAAAAAAAAAAAGAAGAAGAAATTTTAAGAAGATGGACAAAACCCTTTTATTTATTTTTTAAAATCATGAAACATTTATTAATGGTGTTCTCAATAGAGGGCCTGATCAACTTAGTAGAATTTACAGACAATTACAAACACAATACAAAAATGTGCTTACATTGTTCTAAAAAATTTAATAAAACGAATGTGTTGTTTAACCATATACAACCCTTATTTCTATTGTTTTTATTTGGTATCTTGCCTATATTTATTTGTTTTAATTTAATTTTAAAGTTAAAATAAAAAAACATTTTGCAAAATAAGTGTTAAACTTAACCAATGTAATTGTATATAGCCGTCTAAACATTCTTTGCATTTGGACCAAAACTTATTATGTGTTCCAAAACATTCCATCTGAGGTGGAGACGGAAACATGACAATGCTTTGTCCTAATGAAGAGGCTTGACTAGCAAGAGCATATAAATTCAAGTAGGTTTAGTCAGCAAACCAGACTCAAGTGTAACAACAGGTAATGACTTTATATTGCCAAAATTCCTGTGATTGTCTTTTATCATCTTCATGTTCTTAGGTACATATGAAAACACAGATCACAATAAAACATTTTCTGTCAATATGTAATGCAGGTAGATGTTGTAAACGGCTTCCTAAAGTGAACAGTATTTACTGTTTCATGAGTGAATTTTTTTCCCTTTTAGATTACTGGTATGTGCTGGACAGTAATCCCCCCCCCCCCCCCCCCCATTCTTGTTCTAT